TTTTTTTTTTTTTAAGAATGGAAAAACAATTAAAAAATAAAAATGAAATTTTATTCATTTCTACAATATTGAATTGACGCTTGTTCGAGCATTTTTATATTCTCCATTTTAAGTAATATGACGATATAATATATTTTATAAAATCTAGAACAAAAATAATTTTCTAAGATCGTATTAATAATAATATTTGAACACTTCTAAATATTCACTGCTCAAACACCTCGCTAACCAAATACTGTAACGTTACTTATCTTGGATTACCGGTGTAATCCAAGAGTCTCGTTAATATCAAATTAACGACGCTACACTGAATCTGGCTCGTGAGATCCAGGTGTTCGTAAAATCATTCTCGGCCCGGTCTTTGGAGCACGATGCACAAAGCACGGAAGTACGCATAGAATGACCAAATGGGGTACTTTGCTTGTTATCTAGACTGGCGATTCCGAAGTTTTATTACAATTCGCCCAGATATTATCGAAACCCAACTTAGCCAGTTGCGTATTGTACCTTTCAAACCTCAAACAAACCTGCGTTTATGTATCCGAGCTAATGCATTACACGATGGGAAGAGAATGATCCGTTAGAAGAGACGATTTCCCTTTAACGATATTCTATGGTTCGAACTCTATGGTTTCAAAAGGGTATAATACGATTGTTTGCAGAATTTAATTCTACCAAAATTGATCGATCAATTTACGAGAATCTACTTAAAATTAATCATTGAGAAATTAGTTTACTGAATGAAGTTTAATATGGACAGAGAAATAACGAAGAAAATTAATTTTAAACGAACACACATATTTTATTATCAAAATATAAGATATCAAAATTGAATCTATTTTAATCCAATTCGATCCAACTTAATCTTTCAATATTCAAAGTTATTTATTCCACATATTTCAAACGAGTCCAAAGTATCAAATTTATCGCAAAATCTTTTGAAAAAAGTAACGAAAAAAGTTGAGCAACATTAATAAACAAAGGTGATGAACTCTGATTAAAAATATCTCGAAAGAGTTTTTTAAGAAAAACGTGAAGAATAATCTTCTCGACGAAACTTTCGACGAAGATAGAAACGATTCACGTAATATTTAGACGTCTGACTATAAGGAAGCTTATCTACTTACGATAGTAGTCGAGTAGTTCGATATGGCGCGCCTTGGTAATAAATCGAACCGGTATCTGTCATCGTTTTCCTGCTTGGCGACGCATTATCTCGTGGAATGTCTCGTCGAGGATGTTTGTTCGCAACCCATGATTACGCTATAAAAATTACGACAACGATAGTTGGGATTTATGGAGCTCTCCCCTCTCGTATCCCTCGATTATACGGGGAGGAAAAGATCCGTGGGTGCGGAAGCTAAGGGATAATGAATTCTCTACAGACGGGATAATGGTATTTCGGTGGTTCATTATCGGCTCACATTTGCGTTACTATCGTGCTCGTTATATTCGAATTACGCTATTATTTTTTTTTCTTTTTTGTTTTCCAATCAAACTTTATCGTTTCAACGTAGAGTTTAAGTGCATCTGCAATATATGACTATATGTAGAGAATGTTTTATTTAAATCGATTTATTTAAATATATGACAGGAAATTGATGACACATTGAGAGATATCTCGAATAAAAATTGAAGGGATACACTATAGAGAATATATGAAAATCAAGTTTCTTTCCGCGAATAGAATCATATTTTTTTTATTTTTTATAAAAGAAACGATTAATTATTCGTGGCAAAAGAATTATTTTAATTATTTTCTATGAATCAATCTAGGAAAAACATCTCTTATATCGAATTATTCAGTTTTTCTTTATTATCCAATTATTTGTCCATCAATAATATTAAAATATAATATCTGGATCCATTAATATTATCCAATGCCATCAATAGATTCCAAGATAAATCTCTTCTATCTATAAATATAATTTCGCTCCACGATTCACGTTCCAAGTTTACTAGTTATTAACAGATGGAGCAATTATATCAAGATAATCCCAATCACGAAATATCATCCCCGTTTCAATATAGAAATTTCTCTTTCATCTTCGAGAGCAAAATTTCCAATTCCAAATTCTCCGGTAAAATTGAAAGAGAAATATTTAAAAGAAACGCTAGAAGACGGCATTCGTAACCCGATTCGTTTCATCACCAAGCTTAATTTGCTATTTAATCGCAATGTATAATCGTCGGTAGACGAAACTCGAATTCGCGGCTGTTTTCATTTCCGTGCCAGCCACGTCCCGTTTATTTTTTAATATCCGTTCCATTAGCGTACTCTTTGAGACGACGATTCCCCTCCGCCAAGACGCGAACAAGTGAGAAAAATTCGAGGAAAAATAAAAGGACGGACGAAGACGAGCGAAAGATTGGCAAAATAACGCATGAGACGAGGATGGGGAGTTATTGGAATCTCGCTCGAAAGAGAGAGATAACGATCGATAAAATGCATTGCTCGTTTTTCGATTCGACGAATAGGGCATTGTAGTGATATATATATATATACACTGTTGTTGGGATAAGAAGAAATAAGAAACAATGAAGTTGGCGAGAGAAAAAGGTATAAAGGGATGGGGTGATGGCTCCAAGATAATCGTGTAGATATTGTGGGAAAGTTTGCAGGGAAGATATAGGAAGTCTGTTGATCGTTGTTGAGGGGAAGAGAGTTTGGCGAGAAGTTTAACGAACCTGGTTGGCAAGTCAAGTATTTGTACGTGACAAGATAAGGGGAATTCGAACACTGGTTCGAAATAAAGGATCCTTCTTACATTTCAAGTAGGTACATTTCCGTTCTGTACTTTTCCTTTTTCGATCCTTTCCACTCTTTCTTTCCAACAAATAATTCTTATCCTCCGCAAAATAATATATATATAATATAATATAATATAATATATATAATATATATAATACGTGTATTGAAACACATAATTGAAATATGAATTTAACAGATTTCCATAATAGACAGGCGATAAATAATAAGAATTACCTTTTTTGTTCTTGCAAAGAGAAAATTTACCTATTTATATCTACCTATCCCAGATCTTCTCACGTTGAACTAACTTATATAACGTGTCTATATTAAGGAAACGCGAACAGACCTACGCGCACAGATGAAATTACTCACGAGATGAAAACTCTTTGGAAGAGCGGCGATACCAGACTTTTGAAAAAGGACTTTAATATTAACGCCGGTTTAAAAGCAGCGAGATAGCCATTGCTCTCGCTGCAAAATGGAAAACAGCAACACCATCCTCGGTTACTTTTAGAATACCACTTTCTATTTGAATCGTTGATTCAATCGTTCTCTCATATTTACCAGATGAATTCGTATCTTAGAGTGCATTCTTTCCAATAACGAATTTTTTCCTCTTCCATCCAATGAAAAATTTTATTCCACACGATTGTTGGTATAGATTTCGAGCAAACACGCGAAATATTCGCGAAAGATTAATTTTTGATATCCATCGTGTTAATTTTGCAAAATTCATTCACCCCGCTGATATTTTCGAAATTCTCCTCGAAATGCGTGCCTCGAAATTCCATTGATATTTTATAATAGAATAGGGAATTCTTTGGATACTTGAATCGGGAGGAATTGGGATTTTAATTAAAGTTTTTAATTTAAAATCTCGAATCTTATTGTCCTCCTGATATTGCCATTGGCATTGATTTCATTGCATGTTTCTTTTCGTCTGATTAAGAACGCGTGTAAGAGTATCTTACTTGAACGTGGTGATATCAGAGAAAGATTTTGAACTGATCTCGAGAAGTTGAGAAGTATCCATTTGTAAAGTAACTTCTCTTGTAGTGTAAATGGTTGACTGGAGAGTGGAGTACTGCTGTGTTTGGATTATGGCACGAGTCTGTAGGAAGCTTCGCGTTTACGGTATATAAGCAAAGAGCAGTGTCTGAAAATGAAATTAACCAATCCGATGTGATTGTTTCGAGAGAA